ACACAGTAAGCAGCGACGCACAAGCACTTTTAGGAGTCCGTGTATGGAGAAGAGCAGCCACAGACAGACAAGGGTGGAGGCAAAAAATAAAGGAGGCCAAGGCTCATTTTGGGCTGTAGTGCCGTAGAAGAAGAAGAACCTTTCAATAAAACTTAACAATAGTAATGGAATACACATGTCTGGTATGGAATAACTGCTTTGGATAAACTTCATAGAGTTTCAGGCCTCTCACATCCTGACCTCCGTAGAACGGCCCAAAAACTCACTGAAAGATACAAACAAAACCTTCAACAATCAGCATCCCTTTTTTTACCCCGAACCGTATCATGACACGTTAAAATCAGGAAAGCTCTTCTTTAGAGTCTTGCTAGACGAACCACCAGCTTGTTACCCAATAACAGAAACTCCGCAAAATATGATTTTAAGTGACTAGTCGACGAGGCACATACTGAAACTCTTAAGAACTGGTATAGCACGGACCAAGTCAAATCTTATCAAATGGGGCAGGCATGCACAGAAATGACGACAGGTGTAACTGCGGAGAATTAAAGAACATAAAATGTCTACTAGCCTGCCAAATCTGCCTGAATATTATGAACTTTCGATGACTCATGGACAGACAACCAACTAGCATTGAACACAGCTCAATAACGGGCTCAAAAACTATAATTTTATGGTCACGAAATTTTCTATTATCTTGTATTACTTTCCCATTATTTTATTTGAAAATACTTAATTTTTTTTTCAAATTTTTTATTCGAATATTAGCAATATTTTTTACTTGTGATTAACTTGTTTATTATTCTTATAACGTTATTTACAAACTTTTTAATTATCCGATTACGAAAAAAACATACGGTAAACACAAAATTTTTCTCGTTATTCCACCCACGTTTAAAAAAAGTAGTACACCAGAATTAATATTGTAAACAAATGCTTATTACAACGATTACGAAACACAAAACCGCGTTTGTATTTCAAATCATCTCTTCTTACTCGTAATTTCTAATATAAGATATTCTCGACGGTCAAACGTGAAGTGTAATCAGTGTCGTAATACAGCATTTCTCTAGAAAATGAAAGTGATTAGTGACGCTCATTTGGCCAATTTGGCAGAATTTTTAAATTAGTCACGTCGCTTCCTTATAAATAATGTATTTCCGTTTTTATTTGATAATACACAATGTCGTGCTTTCTATTGTTCCGGGGAAGAGGACTGAATTACAAGCAGATCGTTTATTAAGTAATTTATATTATTGCATGAGTAATAAGTATTAAAAAGTATGGTATAGAAATCTAAAAAAATTATAATTTAAGGATAAGTTTTTTAATAATTAAAATGTAATTCAAGGATAACAAATTTTAATCAAAAACAGATCTGCTATTATCGTTGTCGTCCAAATTGTGTATTATGCATAGTTCTTCTTTAGCGACGTCTTCCGGTCTAGTTTTAGGCATAGTCCTCTCCTTGTGCTTTTCATGTTCGTCTGTCTCGAACTATCTGGCGCCAGTTTCTCTCTTTTAAGGTCTTTCTATGTCTCGTTTATGAGCTCTTAGTCGCCATTATATTAATCTCTTTGTCCACTTCTGTTTGCGCTTTCGTGCCCTATATCCTGCTTTTCTTCTTCTTCTTCTTCTTGTGCCACTAATATCAGAGATTGAAAATCATAAAGGCTATCCTGATTTTACTTACTGCTGACCTAAATAGTTCATTAGTGGTACATCCAAACTACTCTCTCAAATTACGCAACCATGACATTCTTCTACGGCCTGGATTCTGTTTTCCTTCTACTTTCCTTGCATTACATTTTGAAGTAATGCGTATTTATATCCTCTCATCAGGTGACCCAAATACTCGAATTTTCTTCGCTTGATCGTTGACAAAATTTCTGGGTCTTTTCCTATCCTTCGTATTACTTTAAAGTTTGTGACTCTTTCAACCCAACTTATCTTCAGCATTCGACGGTAGCACCACATCTCGAAACTTTCAATATTTTTTATGTTGTTCTGTTTGAGAGTCCAGGCTTCTACACCGTATAATATCGTGTTAAATACGTAGCCCCTTAGCATTCTTAATCGTAGAGGGATGCTTATATCTCTGTTGCAGAAGAATTTCCTCATCTTTATGAAGGTGGACCTGGCAATTTCGATACGTCTTTTTATTTCATTTTTTTGGTCTCCATTTTCGTTTATTGAAGTATTTGTAACTTGATACTTGTTCAATTTGAATGCCATTTATACTAATATGTGCTGGTTATATCATGTTTTTACTGAAGACCATATACTTGGTTTTTTTGATATTGATATTTATGCCATAAATTTTGCAGGCAATATTTATTTTTGTAAGTAATCGTTGTAATTCTTCTACTGTTCTTGCAACTAGTACAGTGTCGTCCTCGTATCGAATATTATTTACAACCTCTCCATTGATTACGATTCGTTTGCTTGCAAAAGGGTTTCCTGACAGATGCTTTCACTATAAACATTAAATAGTAGCGGTGACAAAATGCATCCCTGTCGTACTTCTCTACGTATTTCTATTGCTTGTGATATCTCATTTTCTATATTGACGTTAGCTTACTGATTCCAATATAGATTGAGAAATATTCGCAGATCTTAATTATCTATGTTCTTTCTTTCAAGAATGTCTCTTAGCTTATCATGGCGTACTCTGTCAAATATTTTTTTAAAATCGATAAAACATGCATGTACTTTCTGATTAACGTCTAGGCATCTTTGTGTAAGAACATTCAAACCAAAGAGAGCTTCTCAAGTACCTAGTCCTTTTCTGAACTCCATCTGTGTATCATTAATATCTGAATCCCACTTTCGATAAACTCGGTTGTGTATGACTTTTAGAAATATTTTTAGTAGATGGCTCATTAAAAATATTGTTCGATGTTCTGAACATTCTTTTGCATTGGATTTCTTTGGCAGTGTAACGAATGTAGACAACAGCCACTCTTGAGGTATAATACCAGTTTTGTATATTGTGTAAAATAAGTGCAGTATTATACATATTGAGTCATCATTCAAGAGCATTAGCAATTCAGTAGGAACCTCGTCAGGTCCATTTGCCTTTCCATTTTTGGAATTTCTAGGTGCCACTTCTACTTCACATTTTAGGATTTCAGGACCCGTTTCACCATTTACCTGAACAATGTTATTTCTGTTCTCCTCTAACAATTCTCTTATGTATTTACTCCATATATTAATTTTATCTGTTAAATCTATAATATTCTGCCCATTTTTACTTAACTTTAGCGATAGCATCGATAACATCTATTGGTTTTTCTTCTTAAATACTCAATTCTCATATGATCTCTTAAAATTACATTTACCATGATAAGGTGATTCCTTAATAGGTCTTTAAATTGTTGATCGTTCTGGCTATGATGACTTTGTTGGTTGCTATACGGAAAAGCTGTGTTGAGATCTTTTTATACCATGCTCTCAGGTTAGCAAGCCAGGATATTCTTCTTCGTCCTGTGGCCCTTTTTCCTTCAATTTTGCCTTGCAAAATGCATTGGAGTAGCTCATAGCTGCCTTGATTTCTTATTATATGTCCCAAGTACTGCAGCTTACGACCCTTCACGATGTTGACCAAATTCACGGTTGTATTCGTCCTCCATAGTACTTCTTCATTGGTGACTTTGTCTGTCTATGGTATTTTTAAGATTCTTCTATATAACCATAGCTCAAAAGCCTAAAGTTTTGATAAAGCTCCGCCTTTAATGTCCACATTTCTATTCCGTATGGCTTTTGAACACAGAGCTCATAGTCAAGAATGCACTTTTTGCCTTTCCGATGCGACATTTAATCTCCTGGGTATTGTTCCACGACTCATTGATTATAGTTCCCAAGTAGTTGTACTGTGAGACACGTTAAATCTCATTTTGTTCACATACAGATTTGCTCCAATTATGTTTTCCTTGCTGATGATCATTAGCTTGGTTTTACTGGTATTTATATCTGGTGCATACGTTCTTCTTTTTTCCGTTATTTTGTTCATTGAGTTTTGCAGCCCTTTTATGGTATCGGAAAACACTATTTTATAATCTGCATACCGCAGGTTAATGAGCTTAATTCCATTTATTAAAATGCCTTTATCAACATCTTTTAGAACCTCTTAAAAAATGTACTCCGAGTACAAATTGAATATCAGTGATAAAACTATGCACCCTGTCTCAAATCTCTTAAGATTTTGACCTGGTCTGTATATTCTTCACCTTCTTAGAGCACCGCTAATTGATTCCAATACAGGCTAGCTATTATTTTTAGACCTCTTCCTTCAATCCCTGTCCTCTTTAGCACTTTCGTGCTACAACTTTTAAAGGCAACACAATTGCCTTTATTATCTGTTATTTTTTCACTTTTGCGTTTTTGGAACTTTCCAGCTATTTTCTTCACCTTTCGATGGACATGAAAGTTATCATATCGACTCTGATACTACTCTATTTATTAAAATTGTTCTGTTTTTTGTTCCTCTTTGGCTTCTTTTATCTTTCTTCTGACGATGCTATGTATTCTCTTATATTCTTGACGATTTTCTATGTTGTTTTCTCTGATTCATAAGTTTAAGTATTTCATTGGTCATCCACGATTTTCTTTTCTCTGTATCTTTCTTCAGGTGTTGTTCTTTTATTTCTCTTACTGTTTCTTGTATAATGATTAGAGTTTGGTCAGAAATTATTCGAAGTCTATTGAAAGAATAATTATTCAGTGATTATAGTAGTATTGGTTTTATAAGTGATGACAGAAAGAATTGCACGAGACTTTTTTCCGAAAGATCCAAAAAATATAAAAAAGTTACGTTTTACAATTTGTTAAAAAAATGGTTTAAATAAAATTTGGACCACTTTTCATATGGGCGAAATCTTGAACCTTATTCCCGGTGTTTCACGAATGTGTTTAGGCAAAAATATTTTTCTAAACGAACCAGAGATTTTAGCCTTATCCATTACGTAAAAAGAAGAACCTTTACCTAGTAATACTTCCAGGTCCACCCCTTCTTCAAGTTCACCCCGCAAGCAGACAGATTCGATGTTGCAGTTCTTCGGCTAGACCGTGCCGCACATAATCTACCTCATATCACCCCTATATGTCTCCCGCCTCGAGGAGAGAACTTCTTGGGGGAGATTGGAGTAGCTGCCGGATGGGGTGCTCTTAGTCCGGGTTCCAGATTGAGGCCACAGACGCTTCAAGCAGTGCAAGTACCTGTTATTGAAAATAAACAATGCGAGCGGTGGCATAGGTAATGACTTTTGGTATTTAATATATTTGTCTGATAAATGATCACACAGAATTCTATTAATACAACACACCAAATAATTGTTTTTCCAATTTCTGTAAAATTTAGCATTTTCTACGCATTTTAATCAAGTGATAAAAGGTAATTAGTTTTTTCTAAAAATTAGTTATGAATATTTTAATTTGAGATATTTCAGATCGAATTTCAACTGTTTTGTAATATTTTATTAATTCTAGTTAACAACTAAATCCCTACAACTACAAGTTTACAATAAGTTCTGGACCTATCCATCTTATTATTTTCTTTGTTATCTCACGAAACTTTAATTTTTGAAATATAAACTACTCGAATTGATTTTTAGTGAAGATTTCACCGCCGAAGTTCGGTGAGAAATCAGAAATATTGCATCATAGCTAACTGGATTTACAAATAGGAAACTAAATAAGGATATCATTCAGGGTTAGGGTTAGGGACCAAGATGATGATAGTATTATTATCATCCAGAATGGACCAATATTTTGTTAAGCTAATAGTAAACTTATACTGCTGTAAAATATTTGTTTGTTGTAGGTCGAAAGGCATTTCTGTTACAATTTATGAGGAAATGATGTGTGCTGGATACAAAAATGGTGGTAGAGATAGTTGTCAAGGAGATTCTGGAGGACCACTAATGTTACAAAGAACTGGCAGGTAATAATAAATAAATATCAATATATAATATTATAATTTCAATATTATGGTTTTTTAAGCGCATACGCTCTTCTGATAGAGTTCTATGGAGTGAGTAACAGTGTGCTACAAGCCTCCATCACTTTCCTTACTGCTCATCCATAGGTCGACTTAATACACCAGCACTTTTTACTACTAGATTAGCCGTTTTGATTTCAGACCAGGGCTTAAACCATCGATCAAGCAGATCAATCACAGTAGTCAGTGGTTTCGTCTACCTGACCTGCTTGGTTATATAACCGACATTATATAATTAACATTCCATTTTGTTGTTTTGGCAGATGTTTTCGATCATTTTTATAATATTAATATATCAGGAGCAGACTTTCATATCTCACTTTGTCCATTTTTAAAATTTTTCAGGAAATGAGAAAAACTACTACTCGATTATTAATAAAGTTAAAAATAAAACACAATATATGAAAAAATGTAATTTTTTGTTATCAACTTACCCCATTTATAAGAAACAACAAGCTTTATTAGTTTTTTCAAAAAAAAATTTTTAATGATGGACAAAACGCCATTTGATTGTCTTTGAAGGACAAAATGTGGTTTTATTTTCCCTAAGTGATTAAAATAAAAATATGAACTGAAAATTCGTGTTTGTAAAGCAATATCTGTAGTAAAAAAAATCATATGACATGTATGTCGTCCTCCAGAAAACAGCAGCATTCTTCTCCATCTTCACATTGATCGCAGGTCTGGTCCTTTTCAATTACATTTTCACCATACTGATCCTTCAAAATTGGATCTAACCAAGTTAATTTTGGATCTAATGCCCATTCTTTGCCTGATAGACTAACTAAAAATTTTGATAAGCTATCCAGTTTTTTCTTCTTAACAGCATGCTTCGTTGGCAATTCCGGCAGTACTATATCACTTAGTTTTTTCTTTGGTTGAATTAAATTTGAAAACTTTTTAGAATTGTCATCATTTCTGTATAAAACCTTTGTTTTATACAAGATTTTACTTTCCCCAGCAGTTTGTTTGCCTCGAGTTATGATTATTCTTTTGGCTTCACTGATACCTATAACTTTTTTGAGTGAAAGTGCTGTATGTTTTATGTCATACAAAGTCCAATCAGATCCCGGCTTGCGCACTTGTCCTTTCTTAGAATAGATTTCATAATATTTTTCTGGTGACTTTATAAAAGCATGGGCACGTAAGTCTTGCTCAACTTGACCAAAAACTCGATCAGCTGGCATAAACGAATGGCCACGAACGGGAAATGTCATCGTAAGTGTTTGAATAGTTTTTAGGGCATTATTCAAAAGCCACAAGGTGAGTGCATGTACCATGTGGGAATTTTTATTTTGACCCCCACATCCGTCCGAAAACAATCTTAAATGTTTAATATCTGGGTCAAAATCAGTCTTTTTTAGAAAGTCAGTCAACGCAGAACTTATTTCTACCACACCCCTTCCTGCTTCATGCTCAAGCCGTCTATAAAAACAGGAGTTTTGTTAAAATATATGTCACACAATATGCATAAAAAGCCAGTTGCTGAGAATATAATGCTTCCGTAATAGGCGCCTTTGGAAGATTTTGGACCTATTGAAGATCAAAGCAATTTGTCACGCTATCAGCAGATTCCTCTTTCATTGATTTAAAAAACTGCTTTGCTCGCGTCTTATGAATAGTTAAATCCATTTTTAATTTTAATCTTTGCTCTTCATCCTTGGTGGTATTTATTTCAGTGTTTGTTCTTATGCAAAAGCCACAAACATCAGTAGCTGGACTTCCAAAGGCTAAAACAAACGGGCAACTTAGTAAAAAATAAAAATAATTTTTTTAATAATATCTACCTATATTAAACTTATTGCTAAAAATTCGACTAAAGTACTTGTAGTTTGTTTGGAGTGAATTATCTGGACTCTGATCATTATACATCTCCCACAGCTTTTTTATGTTTAACTCAGATGACAAATAGATTCTTCTTGACTTGCCTCTACCATAGTGGCTTTCATGGCCCTTCAAAGACGAAATAAATTTCATGACACTTTCTAATTTAAGCGCATTTTTCTTGGACTTTCTGTCTCCACCACGATTGTCTTTTATACTATTGTCAAGCATCTTTTTTCTCACTATCGTATGAATTCTTCTTGGACCACAATTAAAAAAAAATAGAGAAAAATAATTTTTGGCAAACAAAGATTTTCTTGCTATTATGCCAAACCTAAAAAATACTCAATCAGAGACCTTACAAAGTGTAATCGAAAAATAAATATGTACTGATGCTAAAGCTTGGTTTATTTAAATAAAAACTTACATAAAATTCTGTGTGAAAATCATGTGATTTACCATTCTTTCTCTTCCTTTGCCTTTTTATTTCCTTACTATTCATCATCTGTCCTAATTTGTTATCCTGAGCATTTTTGTTCTTTTCTTCATTATCATAGAAATTGTGTCTAATAATTTTTATGTCGGCCAACAAAAGATCTGTACATGCAAATTTTTTTTGATTTGTGAACACAATTATTTTTAAAATTCAATAACTCAGATCTAAATCTGAATATCTAAAAGAAAACAAATTAAACCACAAAAACACAACATAACCTGTAGTTTACTTTATTTCTCTTACGTTCTTTTGCCGTAGTATTTATTTTTCTTTTTCTCGTTCCTCTATTTGTATCACCTACAATATGCTCACATTCACTCATTTTAATACTATTATCACCTATTATTATTATAAAAACAACCTATTAAGCACGAATAATATCAGATACTGTTGATTCCTAAATCAACGTCTCAGAGTAAAATAAAGTCGTTGAATAGTAAAAAAGCAATGCAAGCAAAATAGCGCTATTTGTTTGTCTCTCGCTACTGGACAAAATGCGTTTTGTTTGTCTAAGTGATTTTTGAAGCCAAAAATATACGTGAAATATTACGTTTAGATTATCTAGGAGTATGTAAATTAATAAATGATCTTTTGACTAATCCAACGCCACCTCTAAGTCAAAAAGTGAAAATATGGACAAAGTGCGATTTGAAAGTCTGCTCCTCATATATTAAATAAATGATTTTATTGGCTTAAAACATTTTTTTTTTATTTCAGGTGGTTTTTAATTGGAATAGTATCTGCAGGATATTCCTGCGCTCAGCCAGGCCAGCCAGGAATCTACCACAGGGTGGCGCATACTGTGGATTGGATCACACGAGCGATCGGCAGCTAAAATTTCTCTTCTAGAAAATCTGATATTTATTTATACGAGAGGCCATTTTCTGGGTAGAGAAATGGAACAAAAGATATTAACGAGACTCCTTGAGATAAAATTTTGTACATTTTTTCATTCACAGATCTATTTATGTATTTAAGAAATTTAATGTCACATAATTACCTTATTGAAGCAGGCTGTGAACAATTTTATTTAAAATAAAATTTTAAAACTGCAGAATATGTTTATTTTAGAAATATTACTTACATTTTAGGAGACTTTAATGCAAAAATTGGAGTAGGTACAGTTGAAAATATAGTTGGACAGTTCAGATTAGGCAATGGAAACGAGAGAGGAGAAAGGCTCATAGAATTCTGCTCAGAAAAGAATATGGTAATTGCCAATACTTGGTTTCAGCTTCCTAAGAGAAGACTATGTACATGGACGTCTCCTTCACATACAGAAAACCACATTGTCAGGAACCAGATAGACTTTATACTCTTAAATAGCAGATATAAAAACTTTATAACCTGAGTTATAACTTATCCTGGAGCAGATGTTAACTCAAACCACAATCCGTTAGTTGCTGACGTGAAAATAAAATTAAAAAAATTGAACTTAGAAGATGACAACCAAAAATTATTGTAAGAATGCTACTAAAAAACGAAGAAATAAAAAACGAATTAAAAAATAATGTGAATGTTAATATTCAAAAAACACTAACTGACAACAAACAAATTATGGATATAAAGTGGTATTATATAAAAAACACTTTACTGAAACCAGCTTAAGAAAGTTTGATACAACATAGGCCAGATACTAAAAAAACAGTGAATGCCGGAAGAAATACTATTACAGATGGAAGAAAGAAGGCAACATAAAGGAAAAGATCTATAATATAAGAAAAAGAAGTATAAAGAAATAAAGAATGGGTTGAAATAGACAGCAACGCCACATAAAAGACAAAAAAGGAGTACTACTAATTGATTTTAAGTTTAAAGTTAGGTTAAGTTTAAAGTTAGTTTAAAATTAAGTTTAAAGATCAAAGAGACAATGTAGATAACGAATACATAAACAGTGACACAGGACCAGAAATAACAAGAGATGAAGTGGAATACACGATTAAAGAAATGAGGTCGGGGAAGGCTACAGGCCCAGATGAACTACCAATAGACATAATTAAACTCATCAAAGGCAACAACTTAATAAAGATCGTGGAACTATTTAACAGCATTTACAAATCTGGTATCATACCTAATGAATGGCTAGTAACAACAATAATAGCCATACCCAAAAAGTCTAATGCGAGACAATGCTCGGAACATCGCACCATCAATCTCATGTGTCATATATTAAAGGTCTTCTTAAAAATCATTCATCGGAGAATATATAAAAAATTGGAAGTTGACATCGGACCCTCTCAATTTGGCTTTAGAGACGGACTAGGAACTAAAGAGGCACTGTTTGCTTTTAATGTTCTAACACAACGATGCTTAGACGTAAATCAGGACATATTTGTGTGTTTCCTAGACTATAACAAAGCATTTGATACAGTTAAACATAGGCCACTGATGCAAATACTGGAAAATAAAAATATTGATACAAGGGACATGCGAGTGATAAGGAATCTATACTACAAACAAGAAGTTACAGTACGAATTAACAGCTCGATATCAGATAGAATACAGATCAAAAGAGGTGTTCGGCAGGGCTGTGTGTTGTCTCCAACCTCGTTCAATGTCTACGCGGAAGAAGTTATTAAAAAAGCTCTTATGAACGAAAAGGCCAGAGTAAAGATCAACGGTCACCCCATTTGCAATATCCGATATGCTGATGATACCGCGCTCATAGCAGAAAATATTGACGACCTACAGAGATTACTAAACAAAGTGGTAGAAGCAAGTGAAGAATTTGGTCTGTCACTGAATACAAAGAAGACCAAATTCATGATAAATACAAAGAAACGTATCAATAATATCAACTTACATGTAGGACAGAATCTCATTGAACGAGTACAAAATTACAATTACCTCGGAACAAATATTAACGAGTCAAACGAATACACCAGAGAAATAAGAATAAGAATAGAGAAAGCCCGCAGTGCCTTTAACAATATGAAACAAATGTTGTGTAGCCGAAACCTAAGCCTAAAGCTGAAAATGCGAATGCTTAAATGTTATGTTTTCTCGATCCTGTTATATGGATTGGAGGCGTGGACACAAAATAAGCAATGTATGCGTAAGCTGAAGGCATTTGAGATGTGGACGTATCGAAGAATGTTAAAAATCTCCTGGAAGGATAATATAACTAACCAAGTTGTATTAGACAGGATGAACAAACAAAAGGAGGTCGTATTGAGTGTTAAAATGAGGAAACTACAATACCTGGGACATATTACACGTGGGAATAAATATCAACTGTTACAACTAATTATGCAAGGAAAGATTGAAGGTAGGCGCAGCATAGGTAGGAGAAGAATGTCATGGTTGAGAAACCTCAGGGAGTGGTTTGCTTGCACTTCCATACAATTGTTCTGAGCGGCATCCTCCAGGGTCAAAATTGCCATGATGATAGCCAACCTTCGTAGCGGAGATTGCACGTGAAGAAGAAGAACTAATTGATTTACCAGACAAATTGAGACGATGGGAGGAGTACGTTAGAGAACTTTTCCAAGATGAAAGAGGTGAAATACAGAAAATAAAAGAATTAAATCCTTTAGACAGACCAAAGATCACGATAGATGAAATCAAATATCCTATCAAAACTCTAATGACAATAAGGCAGCTGGATTAGATGAAATACCAGTAGAACTGTTAAAACTAGTGAAAGAGGATAACTTGGAAGTATTGGCAGATTTATTCAACACGACGTACGATTCAGGAATAATACCATAAGAGTGGCTGAAGTCAGCATTTATAACCATCCCTAAAAAACAAGCAGCAAAAGAGTGCTCTAATTATCGAACACTGAGCCCCATGAATTATACTTTAAAAGTACTGCGGAAAGTAATACATAAGAGAATATACGAAATACTAGAGGAGAATATTAGCGGGATGCAGTTCGGGTTCCGAAATGGAATGGGTACTCGAGAAGGACTATTTGTAATCAACATATTGATGCAGCGATGTCGGGATGTAAACATTGATCTACACTTGTGCTTTGTTGACTACGAAAAAGCTTTCGATAAAGTAAGACATGAAAACTAATATCAAAACTTATGTACAAGCGCATTGACAGTAAAATCATAAATATAGTGCAAACATTATGTTGGAACCAAAGTGCCATAGTTTAAATTAATGGGCAACACTCAGAAGAAATGAAGATCTGTAGAGGAGTTAGACGGGGATGTGTTTTATCGCCACTTTTTAACTTTTTATTCTGAAGAAATTTTCCAAAATACGCTTAATAATATCAAAGCTGGAGTAACCGTTAACGAAAAAATAATTAACAACTTACGATATGCAGACGACACTGTGATCATAGAAACGAGTATAGAAGATCTACAACATTTAATCGAAAGCTAAAGTATGAATAGTGCTGAGATGGGAATTACTATAAACGCTAAAAAAACGAAGTACATGCTAATTACAAAAAGACCACAAAATATACATCACCTATTGACAATCAATGATAACGTGATAGAACAAGTAGAAAATAACAGTACTTGGGAACTTTGAACAATGAAACCGATGATCATACTCATCGAGCAAAAAGATAAAAGAGGGAATCTAATTGTTATGAAAAGGAGACCAAAAAAGTGGCCTCTGATGGCGGACATATCCGGAAATGCATAGGCGCTAAATTTAAATTTTCCAACACTTATTAACAATAGCTATAAAATATTTTTCAGACGAGAAAGTCTTAATTAAATATTAACTATAATAGTCTAAAAAGTGACACAATTGGTAAAAGATTTCAATATAAATAAAATTTCATGTGACAGTTGGGACAAACAATAACATAACCTAACTAAATTTGACTTCTTAAACAAGGAAAGAGACTGTCTATCCTTGTCTAAAGTGGCCTCTCAAGATGGCACTTCCTGTCTATCAATATGTTTACCCCCACTACCTTTACATTCCCTCTTTTGTCTTATTGCTCGATGATCATACTGCAGAAATAAACAGACGAATAGAGATTGCCAGATCAGCATTTATACGAATGAAGCCACTCCTAACGTGCAACAATCTAAATTTGGAGATCAGACTACGAACCATTCGCTGTTATATATTTTCAATATTATTACATGAATCTGAGACTTTTACTGATAGAATTACAAATAGAAGTACTGCAGAGGGTTGGTCAAGAAACAGAACTAATCACCACTATACAAACCAGAAAACTGGAATAACAATACTGGAATTCAATTTTCCCCTCGGAAATGTTTGTATTTTGATGGGTTATTTCCATTTAAATAGTAATTACTTCGCTTATTCCATTTAGCAGGATGTCTTTCAAATATCTTGGACATCATTCGGTCGATAGGAAGAAGGTTTTGTGGGAAACTTACTTGGCTTTTCAATTATAAAAATATTTCTGCTATTATTTCTATTATAACTGCTTCCTGGGTAGATATTTTAGGATTATATTATTCTGCAAACCCTAAATGGGGAGAATACCGGAGATTTTATTGGAGGTGATAGTTGGCAGGGCTTTGATAAAATGAAATACAAATCAGAAAATTCTCCAACATTTGAAAATAAGACTGTAAGTGATAACATACGAAACATAAACCTAAAAATAAAGACTAACAAACCAAACAGTAAACAAAAAAAAGTTGCCTAACAATCAATGAAGAGTAAAATGGTAAAAGTTACTTTAAAAGACAGAATTAAAAATTATCACCTTAAAAAAGAGCCAAAGAAACTAATATAATAAATAGAATTAAAAATCTACAATGCGACTACAAATAAAAAAATCATAAAATAAAGACCTTAGGTTAAAAAAATAAGAAGATGAAGACCCATAAGGATAACCTAAAAATGATAGCAGGCAAAGCAAAACGTGGCTAACAGCAAACATGAGACAGGAATGGGAACAGTTAGGAGGAACCTATGTTCAATTTTGGACCCAAAAATGCTAAAGAAGAAGAAGAAATATACATATTATTACATAAAAAATATATTATAACAATAGATAAGTGATAAGCACCCTATAAAAAGTTTTGTAAGCCTAGAAGAAAAAGAGGTAGTAAAATTAGAACAAACACAAGAATATCACTAAAAATATTACATCT